ATAATCGGCTGCTCTTTATCAAAGTTGAACAAATTGTGGAAAATCCACATCAGGTGGTGACATTCCTTTTTTGCACCAGACAGATGAGCAGATGGCAGATTCCTTTCTGATGCAAATCTCTTCGAGATACCCCATTGTATCAAGCACTTTGAACGTGAATTCGGTCATAGAGGAATCACAATGAAGTAGGTCCATGTGAACTCCTTCAACCTTGTCGTGGAATAATTTCTTTTGTTTTTTGGTCACGTGCCCATCTTTCACTTTCTTAACTTGTTTACTTTTTTGTTTTGTTTGATTTTTTTTGTCCGCCCTGTGAGTGTCTTTTGTGTTGATTTTAAACTGCTGCTGTGCATTTTCGACGTCGTCAGTTTCCAATGCAAAGTCATCATCAATTATAACCTCTGCCTTCTCTGCGATTTGTTGAATTGCGTCGGCCGACGCTTCCCTCGCTCTGGCCATACTAAGGGATTGCTTATCAGAGCGGTCTGCCGCGGAAGGGCCACGACCTACTGTCTTTAGGCCAAGGGATTGTCTCTTGTTTTCTGCACCCTCCAAAACAGCGCTTGCGCATTCCGCGGTTACCACGTCCAGCAGACTTTTCCTATATCCGGACGCGTGCAAAGATTTTGCATTTGCCACCTCCGCAGAGGATGCTTCGCTCGATGACTGTGTGCGGCACCATTTTTGCCAACGCGCTTTTCTTCGCCACCACCATGCCTTAAAAGAATTCATTTTTTTTACATTTGTTGATTTTTTTTCAATGAGTTTTACAAGTCGTTTTTCCGCATCTACTGCCTGCAAAGAGGTAGGAGAATTATACGCATCCATCATTATTGATTTGAATTCCTTTTTACTTTTTGGTCGCCAAAATAAACGGAATTACGGTTGATGTCTTGTTTGAAATGGAAAAAGTCTGAAATGGTCTTCTTTTTTTACGTCTTCCCCTTTACCAAGCAGAGACCACGCCACAGAGCACCACCTTCATCACCGACGTATGATTTTGGATCTAATCCCCGTCCTAAGACGTCTTCATTATCTACATTATATTGGCCAGCCACTTTTGGGAGAACATTGTTAACGGCCGCATCAAAAGACTGCACCATTTTTTACGTTATCTGAATTTTCACCTGGTGTGGCTGCAAACATACTGACTAATTTGACATTGCGTCTCAAGATGGGGTCGTAAGTGGTCATCTCAATTTCTGTGTAGTGTTGCGCGCGGCTTTCACAGCCATCGAGGCTTACTGGTTCGTCAACAGTGCCAAGAGTAATGAGTGCACCTAATCGCACCTTATGCTCAGACGAAAGAATGACATAATCGTCGCCAACACACATAATTAAGTTTTCATCTAATTTCCTGGCAAGAAAATCGTCCTTAAGCAATTGAACAGCTTCTATCTCCGATCCTCCAGGTCTCTTTTTCTTGTTAATGGTACTCTGTATATACTGAAGATGTTTTTTGTTGCTGTATCTTAAAGCTATCTCGTTCACCTCGTCTACTTCTTTACCACTAAGTAAGGCCTCGCGTACAACGTCCAACTGTAGTTGACCTGCTGATTTAGTAGGTTTTATACGGAGAATGTTTTCTACTTCCTCTTTAGACGGCTTATCTTCTTCTTGCTTTGGAGAGCAATCGTGTTCCTGTAAGTAGATTACTGTTATTCGCCTTTGTCACGGTATCGCCATCTTGAAAATGACGTAATGCTTTTTGGCATGAAAACGAGGTCACGCGTGGTTCTTGACACACTGAACACTCGAGCGATCATGCGGAACAAAGATCACTGTTGTGTTCCTAAGTGCAATAACAATAGATCAAAAGTGCAGTCTAATATAACCTTTCATCAATTCCCGAAAGACAAAGACTTAAGAAGACAGTGGATTATAAAAATTAAGCGTGATGTCGGCCGGTCCTTCAAGGTAAATGGCCTTTTATATATCATAGTTCAGTTTAGCGTCGTTTCAGCGTTGTTTATATAGCAAACCTTATATTTTTTTTCCGATATCTTTCAGATAACCAACAGTACAAGAGTTTGCTCTGATCATTTTAAACCCACAGATATAAAAAAAAAACGCTAACAGGAAAAAAAGTGTACTCGTTAATGGTGCTGTACCATCCGTTTTTGAATGGACAACTTTATCAAAGAAACGAAAGTCACCAACGAAACGCGAATGCACAACACGTACTAACACAACCGAGATTGATGTCGTGGATAATATACAGCCAATCTCCTCTACAGGTATTTTTTTTTATGAAATCGTACTTTAGGCCCGCCCTAAATATTTCTAAACATGTTATTTTCTACATTCCCACAGTCGAAATTGGGCCCATCGAAGATTCAAGCGTAGACGAAAATGTCATCGATACTAGCAGCCACATGGAGGACTCCACCGTAACTACTGACACCACAATCATAACACCTACTGTCAACCTACATGATTATTTATTTACTGAACCCGAAAAGCCTGTAGAAGAGCTACTTGAGGCAGCGCAAGCTCGTATCGAACAATTAGAACAGCTGCTTTCAAAACAATCTTTTTACAGACAACTGAAAGGGATGTCAGACAAACGCGTTAGATTCCATACTGGCTTTTCGTCATTTGCTATTTTTGTGAGTACCTTCAATGCCCTTAGACCCACAGCTGAAAGTATGTTTTCATGGTCCCAAGTACAGAGAGCACGAGCAAAAAGTGGGAAAGATATAAGTAACATGAGAGACACTCTCAAGACATATACATACAACCTTTATTTATGTGTCAAATCTAAAATAGCAGTTATACAACCACTAACTGGGGACACTAAATACTACCTAAAAATTTGAGAAATTTAAAAATAAAACAATATATATGTACAATTTAAAATCTAACCTAAGTCTTACATAAAAGGCAGTTTTCACATTTACTATCAGTCAATTTAGAAACAAGGTCTATTCTACGTATGTTACATTTAAAAGATGATATGGATGTCAGTTCTCTTACATTTCTTGGTACAATTGCCCATATTTTGGGTCCCATATATCTAAGCGAATGTTTTCCAAAAGTGACAGTATTAAATCTAGGTATACCAAAATCATTATTACGCAGTGTGTACCTAAGTTGTGGAATTTGAAAAAGGCTACATATGTAATTAGGAGATAAATTGTTCTTTACCTTATACATAAGAATGGCTATGTCCTGTAGTCTTCTGTTCTGCAGTGTACTTAGGTTAGCCATGTCTAATAATTTATCATAACTACTCCCCTTATCACAGTAAACTGCCCTAAGTGCCCTTTCTTGAATACGTTCCAATTTTCTAGTATCACTCGCCCTACAAAAATGCCAGACAAGATGGCTGTATGTTAAATACGGAAGAATGGCTGCCTTAAACAACTTCAGCTTGGTGTCTGTTGGTATCATATTCCTGAGCCTCATCAGGACTCCAACACGCTGGCTACTCCTCTTACAAATGTTAGCAATGTGTTCATCAAATTGAAGCCTATTGTCTATATATACCCCAAGAAGTTTTAAACACTTGGTAGATTTAACTTCATTGTCATCAATTATAATACTATCCATATCATTATTTTTATTCCCAAGTGTCATTGTCTGATACTTGTCATAGTTCCCTTTTAAGAAATTCGATCTATACCATCTGGAGGCTAATTCGGCACTTGCTATTAACTTATCATGCACCTCAGTAACATTACTGCCTGCAGCATGGAACTGGTGGTCGTCTGCATACATATTGATATTAGAATTAGAATTTACACTGTATGTCAGATCATTTTGGAACATGTTCCATATCAATGGTCCAAATGCGGAGCCCTGTGGACATCCCCTTGACCCCCTCCCCCTCACTCACTGTGGATCCCAACTTCACCCTATTGTACCGATCAGTGAAGTAGGAGTCCAACAATTTTAGACTGTTCCCCCGAATACCATAAGCCTTTAATTTAGCAAGTGTGAGTGGATAGTAGAGGGAATCAAAGGCTTTACTCATGTCCGTAGAAAGAACACCTACCACTTTATGTTCATCTAAAGATATCTTCCAATTCTCTGTCATAGCCAGTAGAGCTGTTTCGCAGCTATGATTTTTCCTGTAGGCTGTCAGTTTATCACATAATTTATCATTGAAACTATAATTAAGCTGTTTACTAAGTAACTGTTCAAAAATCTTATTTATAGTAACTTGTACAGTTATGGGCCTATAGTTCTTTTTTTTCTCATGGGGGTCCTCTTTCTTAAATACTGGTGTCCACTCTCCTTTCTTCCACACCGCAGGCCACTCACCCAATGTTATACATGAATTGTATAATGCTGTCAGAGGCCCTGATAGTTCTCTAGCACCCAGCTTAAATGCTTTGGGGGGGACACCATCCCAACCAGTACTCTTTCTGGGGTTAATACTTTCCAGTGCGGTCTCCACCTCAAGTATCTCCAGATTCCGAAACTGGAAGTCTTGATGGCCTATCATATTCTCTGTGATATTCCGAACACTTGAATGAGTCACAAAAGAAGAGTCAGTAATGCCTTCTGTGTCACCAATACCATCAGCAATGGTAGAAAAATAGTGACATAGATGATTTGCAATCTTACTTTGATCATGACTTATCGCTCCTTCAATGTTTAAGCTCAACTCATTAGTGGTACCCTTATTCCTCTTTTCACTCAAGAAGGGCATAAATGTTTTATAGAACTCACCAGGCTTACATTTCAATTTAGTAGTTTGATCTTTCCAATACTCCCTTATCGCCTTTCTCCTGAGTCTAGTGGCCTCGTTTCTTGCTTTACGTTTAGCCTCCCAATTCTCTCTGTTTTGCACCTTCAGATATTTCTTTGCTGCTCTTCTCTTAGCCCTAATGGCTTTTTTCCATTCGTTTGTCATATAAGGGACATCTTGAGTCCTCACTCTCATTTTCTTTTCCGGAAGATGCTCATCAACAATACTAGATAACAATGTTTCCAAAAAACTGGTCTTATCATCAGCAGTATCAAAAATTTCACCTACATGCCAGGGAGCCTGCATCAGTTCGTCCTTATACTTTTCTGCGTCAAGATGTTTAAATGATCTAAATTTAACAATCTTGCCTTTTTGAGGTTTTACCTTCTCATTCAAGAACCCATATACAAGTGCATGATCACTGATCTCTGGGTTATATACTCCACAGTCACCAAACAATTGTGGTTGGTTGGTGAGAATAACATCTATCAGACTGTGTGTAGTAATTGATCCTTGCATTTGTATCCTTGTAGGTGTGGTTATCATACAGTCAAATCCCTGTTCCACTTCAAGGTCAAGCAGTAGTTTACCCTCAGTGCTATCTGGCTTAAGCCTATTCAAATTCAAGTCACCAGTCATTATAACAGTTGAGTACTGCAATCCAGCCCAGTTGGAAATATGGCTCAGTTCTTCTTCTAGCAATAGTTGATAACTTCCAGTGACTTTCTTTGGTGGCCTATAGATAGCCACGACTATTGCATTTCTTGATTTAAGGCCAATCTCTAGTGCCAGAGGCTCGATTGTTTTGTATTTCCTTTCAATGGATATCCTCTTAGATTGTATCTTGGAAGAAACAAACATGAGAACTCCACCACCTCCTTTCTTCCTATCATTCCGGTGTAAATAATAACCCGGTATGAGAAACTGACAATCTGGGTACGATCCATCAATTTTTGTCTCACTTACAGCCATAATTTGCACAGTTGATTTGAGAATAATATCCTTCAATTCCTCAAATTTATTCTGGATACTGTTTATATTTAAATGACACACCAATAAATCCTTGCCATTCTTTTTGTCTGGCAGTTTGAAGTGGGTCAATCATCAGTGTAGCGTCCTCCTGTTCCAAGTCAGTCTCCACTACCTCCTCCGAAATTGCCAACGATTCAGTAATATAATTGCTCACATCATAGAATGGTAGCTGTTCCATTAAATGTCTAGAAATACACATTGGGCAGATCCAAACTTGGTTTGCAAACTGCTGCATGCGTTTGTACTCGAAAGGCTTCACACCACCACATTTAATGTGGTACTCACTTGAACATGAAGCACAGCATAATACACGATGATTACGAGCGATAGATCTTAAGCATGTGCTGCATTTATCAGGCCCTGGATTTGGTGAAATATCGCCACTGACTGCTAACCTTTCCAGCTGAAAAGTCGACTCTGAGTTCGAATATCGCTTGACCCTTGCTGCAAAGTAAGCGGTTGATGGTTTGTAAAATCCAATATGGCGGATAGCCATGTGGCGACGAATGTCGAAGAATATCACCAAATTCACGTTAAATGAAGCGAGAGTCGGCCGAGTTTCGAAGCCTTTAGATTCACTGATGACTCTGCCAGCGAAATATACATCTGGCCAGAGTAAATGTGTGCAAAATACGCCAAGAAAGTACAGACTTACTGGGACTATCAAAGACACAGCCGCCATTACGCAATCGCGACGTATTGTGAGACATGCAAACTTAGCTTATTTGATCAGTTTTATTTATGCATTACTAAGCTGAGGCTGGGTACTTTTAATGAGAAACTAGCCAGTGAATTTGATATTTCTATTTCAACTGTGAGTAGAGTTTTTATTTCTTGGGTTAACTTTCTCTATTTTGTTTTGGGAACCATTCCTATATGGCCCTCTCGGGCAAAAATTGACAAACATATGCCTAAGTGTTTTAAATTGTTATATCCTAAATGCCGTGGTATTATTGATGCCTCAGAGATCAAGGTACAAGCACCATCTAGTATGGTTTTGAATAGCAATTGCTATTCATCATATAAAAACCACACAACTTACAAAGGCAATGTTGTAATATCTCCATCTGGGGAAATTATTCATGTAAGTTCTCTTTTTGAAGGAAGTATTTCTGACAAGGAGCTTGTTAAGCAATCAGGTTTGTTGAATTTACTTGAGCCAGGTGATCAAATAATGGCTGATAAAGGATTTACTATAGAGGATCTATTAAAGCCAATAGGTTGTGGAGTAGCAATGCCTGCCTTTTTGTCAAGTAAGGGTCAATTTTCAAAGAAAGAACTTTCAACCAGTAAACAGATACATAATTTAAGAGTCCATGTGGAAAGGGCCATAAGAAGGGTGAAAGAGTTTCACTATTTTGATAAAGTTATACCTCTTACAGTAGCTGGCAGCATTAATCAAATATGGACAGTGGCATGTCTTATTACCAATTTCCAGGGGCCTTTGTTGCATGAAAAGCAATATTTCTAAATATGTATACAATTGTTGTAAAATAGATGGAAGAGTAAGCATCATTTAAAGTAAAGTATGTAAGGATCTGTAATACAAATAGTACTAACAACTTTTAACAACTAAGAGTTAGTTGACATTGAGTGAGGGTACACTACGTATTAGGTCCAACCTAGGTAAGAACTATGCCATCTGTTAACATGTGATGTGGAAGGGTGAATAGTAGGGTGGCCCTATCCCCTAGGGGCACCCTTTTCGTATGTACATGGCATATTGGTTAGGCATTAAAATAAACAGTAAAATCAGTAAAAATTATATTGTTAGTACTATTTTTGTTTTACAGATTCAATGCAAGCTTTCAAACTAGCTTTTTGAAAAAAAAAAAAAATTATGAATTTAATAACTTTACATTTATTCACAAATTTCATTATTGCCAAATATTATAAAAATGCCCTTTTGGGGTTTAAATACAAAACCTGTTGAAGTCATTCATGTATTTTTATTTATCATGTTTGTACAGAATGTTCTGTTTAATAACAGTAAAAAACTATTAAATGGCTTGAAATACACCCAACTTAGTCACAGTATTTGAATGCATGATAAACAATGAAATATGTACAGCTGTTTGTAAAAATTATGGCGCTTACAATATATTACAGACATATAGGCTTAAATGAAACTGAATTATCATAAGTATTGTATTTTTGGAAAAAATACAAAAACTATTAAATTACCAATCATGAACCCAATGTTTTTAAAGTTGTGGCAATAATTTCTGCAAACAGCTGTGTAATGATAATTACTAGAACAAGTTCTGAGTCTAATTAGGTTTGACTTGTTACATTTTAACATTTTAAGAATGCTGATTCAAATGTCTTTACTCCACTTCCCACCAAACTTTGTCACACACAATTAGCTTGTTACTTAGGCACGAAGTTATTTTGTATAAGAGACATACAATAAATTATTGAACACATGTATTCAGGTGATAATCAAAAAAAAAATAAATTCAGTTTGTCCAGCATTTCAGAAAAGAGAAGTTCATCAAAATATACTCGTTCACAGTGAAATTCGTCCTTGCAGTAAACAAAGAAATCGCACCACTGACTTCCTGTTAAACCAAGGCATCCCATAACTTGATAATAATACTTGTGTGTCTTCTTCAATGAATATGACCCATTTCGTTCATTAAACTTTAAATACTGAAGGTTATCCAGATGACTTGCTGGAGAGCACTTTATTTCTATCAGGCCCCATGGATGTTGTTCAGTGTCGTCAAACACTCTTCTGTCTGGGCTACAGCCCTAGGTGTGGGAGACATGGGTTTATAAGAAAACCTACTAGGTGAGTGTCTCTGCCAAACTGTGTTTTGTACATATCAGCAGCTACCCCCTCATTTTGTATCCCATATTTCATGGCTGCAGTTTGGATTACTTTTCCCTTTAGTAAACGCGTAGAAAGGATTTCATGGTCTTTTCTTCTTGAGCATATATCTTTGAAATTTGAAGCTGTAAGCCTAAACTTCCTTAGTTCATGCCATGCTGTTGTAGTTGACTGTTCCCTTGTCTCCATTTCAAAGTCAATAGACTGTTGACCTGATATTGCAAGGGAGCTGAAGAAAAGGTCTTGTTTTTCATTGAGCACTGTATCTGGATAGCTTAAAGATGGAAAGTTGAATGCAGGTAGCTGTATGTTAATATTGCTCTTAACTTTCAATGGCTGTTGATAGCTTATGACACAGCCTTTTGGCACCTTTCCAAAGGCCGAGTCTACTAAAATTGAGGCTCACTTTGTTCATCTTCCCATATTCTCATAAATCCAGGTTGATTGTTGAGATTTTCAAACTGTGGCGACAGCACACTAGTCAAGTCAAGGCTACTTAATGATTGCTGGAAGGGTTTGTAGATCGTGCTTGCCACACCACACACCTTTCTCTTCTTTTTAGGTTCATGCAATTTATCTTTTGGCTTTGACTTTTGTATAATCAAATCTGTCACTGGCCTTGCTTTAATGCCCTCTTTACGACTGGGGATATGCCATCTCTGCAAAAAATAATATACAAATATACTATATGAATTCAAAATTGCTTATTTTGTTATGTTTAAAAAAACAGCAGTGTGATTAAAAGGAGTTTTTAAGGAAAAATATTGGTAAGATACAGTCAAATCTCTATACATTAATGACTGTTTTTTCTTATTGTTTATCATCAAATCTATTATTATTATTATTAAATTTTACCTGTGCCTTTGATGTTTTAGAAACCATTGGCGGGACACTTTTTAAGCCTAATAGCTGGAAATGGGCAAGAGTATAGAGCAATCCAAGAACATGATGGCAAAGACCTTGTCCAGCAGCACAACTACACATATACTTGTTGATGCTAGCCTCAATAGAGGAGCTCTCGAACACAACAGACAACTTGTGAGGATCTTCGTTCTTTTTTTCATACTTCTGAAGCATTTAGCCCGAGCCACTACTCCTGAATCCTCTTCCTTGCAAAGTTTTACTGTTAAAAACCGAGAAAAAGAGTTAAAACTCAAAACACTGAGCACAGAAACAAAATATTGGAAAGACAGTCAAACAAAGAAAGCTACCACGAGGTCAACGAGGCTCACCTTCAATATCGTGAATATATTCTTCGTGAAAGAATTTATATCCTCTTGTTACAGTGGCTTTGATCGGTAGGTTCTTCTCAGCAAAATCCTCAACAAAAGAGTTTGTAACTTTGGGTATTTTTGTTATATTTTTGTGCCAAAATTCGAGTTCAACGCTATCGCTACTAGTCGCCATTTTGTTTGTGAACTTACCACGCGTGGCCTCGACCTCATGTACAATATTCAATGACGTAATCCAAGATGGCGGGCCGTGACAAAGGCGAATTTTTTTGTGGCACCGGTCGTTTTCAACATATTTTCTTGCTGAACAATGCTTTTTAATGGCTTCACTGTGACAGTGAACGCAACGTTTTGATCGATTAAAATCGACTTTGTTTGGAGACTTATGAATTTTTAAATATGCGCACTTCTTGTTTGCGCATTCTAGCGAACCGAGACACAATTGAAGCGTCCTTCTACCACCCTTGCAAAATCCCGCTCTTTTGCATGGTTTTGCTCTACCCCACTTCCAGTTGTCTACAACCACTGACAAAGGGTCCGCATCATTGTATTGCACTTCATACTTTACAGGACCTTGAGGAGCCAGAGGAACCTTCTTCACCTGAACTGGCTTGAGTTTGTCAATTTCGTCTTGGTTGGCATACAGTCTACGTCCCTTTCTTAAAACGCTGATGTCCCCATTGCTGTCGCTATCTCTACCAATAAATGCAAAAGGTCGTTAACGCTTCAGGAAGAAAACTGCTTAAGAAGCATAGACTTTTGATAAAACACCACGGCTATTTTCATATCGTATCATAATAACCCCCACTAACACATCTGCATGCCGCCATCTAGTCTACCCCTCCCAAACAACAAAAGAGACGTTTATTTTCATGTGCACTTGTAATGATCTCGAGGGAATTTCCCTGTTTTTACTCCCTTGACGTTTATAACTAATTAGTTTTTTGTATTCCATTCTGTGCACATTTTTATCAAAACAGAAAACCATTCACCTAAACCCAACACTCTATTACATCAATAAAAGAATGATTACGTACTCTTCATCAAATAGCTTCTGCTTTGCGGGTGACCTCTGGGCGTCCTCTTTGGGTCTTTTAACTGCTGGTAGACGTGGCTTTTGAGGCGTGTTGTCATTGGAACTTAGTCCACTTACACTGGCGATTAATTCTTCGATGCTGTCATCCTGTTATATTAAAAAAAAAATTAAGGTCGATTTCTGCCGCTCTCTCCAACAGCGGCTGGTAATCGAGCCTAAAAGAACCTACAACAATGACTTTTTACAAATGATATCTACACAACATTCTTTGGTTCAGATATATTTTTGTGTGTCTAAAAATTCTGCAATCTTAGCGGACAAATATACGCATTGACGTTGATTTCTAAATTTCCTTTCCATGCACGGCTTCAAGCTACTAATAAAAGCAGAGCTACTTATTTCAATAATTAACCATAACGGGAAAAGAGGATTTTTTTTCTTGGATAAGAAACTCAAAAAACGATCAATTGTGATCATTACGTGATACTGGTCAGCTATCAATTAATTGTAACATGGATGTCCACAGAGGTGCCTACAGTAATGGTGCTTGCTACTCTATTATTTTTGAAGGTATGGGGATGGCCGTACGGACCAACAGACGGACGTAGGAACAGTCACGTGACAACCAAATTTTTCAGATCGATGGGTTGCCTAATTTTCTTAAACATTGACCAGTGTTCTTCGGCGCGCAGGATTGTGCAAATAGGTTCTGGGTAAGAGGGTGCAACGTAAATTAGTGATCACCTAGGCGATGTAGGAATCAAGGAGGAAGAATATTGGGACAGTCGTTTTGTTCTGTGTTCAGTTTCGTCAGTCAGTATACAATCACTTACTGATGAAATACGCTGTCTTTTCCGGGTGGGTTGTTTAAGGGGCGAATCGACCTCCATGCCATCGTCGGAGCTTATTTCAACCACACTCTGATCACTAATATCTGCAACCGTCGTCTTAATTTCCTGCTTGCTCTTCTAAATTAAAAAAATGCAAGGCCTGTATAGGTAAAGTGTTGAAGTTCTGTATCTTCTAGTTAAAAACGCGAATAAATTCCTCCTACATACCTGTAATGACTTGTCTTTTGGAGTTTCCTTTTCTTCAATTATTTCAAGATCCGATCCATAAGAGGATGTGTCATCGGATATTTTTCGTCCTCTCCATAAACTCGTCCCGGGGTTGTATTCTTCTGTGGATTCCCACCATTCCATCTCTTGATTTTTTCGTCCTTTGGGTGTCTGAAATTAGACACAACAGAATGAGTTTCTTAGTGTATCTACCGCTAATGACGTTTATTTTATCTCCGCCTCGCCTCTTCCCACTTCCACCAAAAAAAAAGGCAGAACCAAAACGATTACGTGGTTAGAACTAGATGAGTCACCCCGTTAAAATTGTACCTTTGTTGTCGTTGTCCTTTCAGCTTTGAAAGTTTTACCGGAGGATGTTTTAATTTCTTGAGCACTTTGTTCCTCTTTGATTTTAGGGGAAAAACTACGAGTACGTGGCTCAGAATTTCCCTTGGAAGATCTCGCCGCCGTTGCATAGCTTGATGCCTGAAACAAATGTGAGAAGGTTGAGTAAGTCAGCAATACTGTGACGTCCTGAATATAACCCAGGGACCAAAAAACTGTATGAAATTTAAACAGATCTTAGCGAGTTAGTTGCAATGTTAGCCTGACTGATTGATTATTTGTTTGTCAGAAATTGCGTATCACAGGTCAAATATGAACATGTGCCCAAGTTGTGAAACGAACCCAGGCACATCTGTTTACATTATGTATAGCACATGGAAGTAACCAATCCCACCCTTTGCTTGAGCTTCAATGGGACGTAGTGATTACCACTGTGTCCGAAGTAAAGAGTGCCAACTGAGGGACCCAACTGAGGCTCCACAACTTTAACGAAATTGTCATCCTGTAAAATAAAATGTAAAGAAAACAATTTATTACTCCTTAGTTAAAAACTTACTTTCGTTTTCTGAAAGCAATGGAAACAAACGTGAAACATTGGATGACAACAACTATTTACCCCATGCACTGTAATAATCATGATCTTGTAGTGCATCACATTTGCAAAGGCGCTAATCACTAAAGAATTAGCATAATTATTTTCCAGGATCTTCAACGCTTCTGACCACACAGCAGGCACCTTTTCACCACCCATATCGACGTCACACAAGAAAGCCAAGCGGTCATTTCCCTGGTCCTATTTAAAAAAAAAAAAAAAATGTCACAAAACCTCGTACAAGAGACGGCTTTTCAGGTGGTTTCAAAACTTTAAACTATTCATTTTTCCTAAAAAAAAAAGTCTGCCCAATAGTCTTTCAGTGTGCGCAGTGAGAAAAGTGTGATGCCCAAAACGTTGCTTTTCAGATGCTCTGTTACGAACATTGTGACAAATATACATGCAGCTCGTTTAAAGTGAACCTCTGAACTGGGAGGCAAGGAAAATAAGGCTTAAAAATAAATACACGTTAAGGAAAAATAATGAGCCCTAGTGTACAATGAAAAAAAAAAAGACTTGGATTAGGGCTCAATTAAGGAAAATGATGTAAAAACTAAGTACAAGAAAAATATTTCATTTCATTCCGTTTGTTTTTAATACTCTTATTAACCGGGCGTCGCTTATGTCATCATCTGTTGTCGGTCACGCAGTCACTTATACTACGGTTAAATAACTTACGTCAAACTGATGGTTTCCCAGATAATTAAAAATGAGGTTGTGTAAGATCTCCGACTTAAGTCCCAGTTGAAACGCTGCAGCCCGATAGAAACAGCTTCCATCACCGGGAGGATTAAAAGCAATTTCAAATCCTTCTTCTTCTATCCTCTGCCGAAGTTCCATTTCAATTTCCATTTTCTAACAAACCCGAAAAAAAGTAAAATTTACTGTTGACAAAAAATACTTTTACATTTCGCAATGTTAACCTCGTCTGAGGCTGTGCTGAAAATGTTCAAGAAATGGAACTAATACATTAAAAATACATATATCCGAATCTCACTTACCTCACTTGAATGATTTCAGAAGTAAACGCCAAAAAAAAGTACTTTCTACCTCTCCTGATAATTTGTTCCGACTGGAAGGAAAAAAACCCACTGCACCTCTTTGGTAACGTGCCAAGGAAGAACGCGGTAAAGGAATGGGCTCTAATATATACTTCTGTCCGAGAGAAACTGGGTTTGAAAACAATCAAAAATGGCGCATGGACTCATGAGTAAGTAGTATTGTACGATATATTTTACATACATGTTAATTTTTTATTTCATATATTTTTATTTTTCATTTTTCATGGCTCGCACCCTGGCTCGCATGACTTGCATGGCTCGCACAGTGACTCGCATGACTCGCTGGCTCGCACATTAGGCAGACCCGAAATGAGAGTCTCATGAACTAGAATGCCAGTTTAATATTTTATTATATTTCCTTAAATTTATGTGCTATTTTAAACAACAACCGCGGTGCATGATCACGAGTTTTTGTCCGTAAAATAATGCCATGTTTATTTCATATATAGTACATTTCAAATTATTATTGTATATAATTTGATAAAAAATCAATTTTCGAAAGTTTGCAGATAACATAACCATGTTTCACACCCCATTTATGAATCAATATGTTAAAAAAAGCTTATAAAAACTTACACAGTATGATCACGAGTGAATATTCCTGTCGGGAACGGGTATCCGACAAATAAGTCACAGGTTTAAATCTCAAACTGGTTTACTGTTGTTTTCCCCGATTACAGATATCTTCGGTTCGCTATCTCGCTCTATCTCCATCTCAAACACACACCCCTTAAAAGCCGATCTTATTACACTGTTTCGCAATCAAGTCTAATTTTCAAAGGAGATTGTCTTTCACTTAATATTAATAATAGTAATGCTTTCTTGTCACGTTATGTCATGCTATGTCACGCTTTCCGTCATTCCAAATAAAATCCACTTTTGTTGTGAAAATGATTATCAGTATATCCACTTTGATTTGCGTAACAGAACGTACAATATATACTTAAAACAGTTTCATAGAGGTTTGGTTCAGAATTTTGGTTACATGAATCACATACTAAAACAGTTCAGTGTCTCTGTCCTTACTCTTTTTTTGATGTTTTTGCTTCCATGTAGCGGTTCAATGACCTCAAGAGCTGGGTCATTAGCTGATTTTGTTGGGCCTGGGCGGTTTGCATCCCCTCGATGGCTCGACTCAAGGCGTCACCCTCACCTGAGAGCTTTTTCATTACATCCCTGAAGCCTTCCTCCTCTGAGTCGCTTTCAGCCGCTCTTGTGCGCTTTCGTCGGTTTTTGCGCTCTTTGCGGCGTGTGGTCTCGGCACTCGACTCCGAGTTTGTCGAACTGGAGGTAAAAGCGAAGGAGTAGAGCTTCCTTCTGGTGTTTGCTCGGCATCTAGCGCTGGCTCCGGCGTGGTGATCCCGACTTGCCTCAGCTTATTGCAGGTTATTACATCCCTGCAGCCTAGCACCGCGTCTATGGCATCGTAGTGGGGGCTCTTTTGAATATTTTCCCCACTTTGTTTGCGGTTCCAGTCTTTCTTTTCTTTGTATAGATTCTTAAGGTGCTTCAGCTTGCGCTGGCACTGATCTACTGCTTTTGTGATGCCTTGTTTATCGTTCAAAGCTCTAACAATTGTGGGGAATAGGTTAAGAAGGCCCACAACGTCCTCAGTCTTCACTTTCAGGTTTTTTTTTTTTTAATCACAGTTTTTTCTTTTCTCCTGCAAAAAAAATCCACCTCTCACTGGCATCAATCGAGCGAACCCTAATCTATGGCACACCTTGAATAAACATGAGCTGATTGGCTAAAACAATATTGCTGACAGAAAAATAACAAACGTATTCTATTTCGCAATAACACGTGGAATAACGTGATCGAAGGTCCGGGCTTTGATGGCTCAGTTGGGAGCGATGGTGATGGTGATGGCGATGGCGTTTGTACTGTGGGATTAAACTGCTCTGCTCCTTGCTGCATACCATGACTAGAAGAATACTGAAACCCGGGAAATTGGAGAAATTCCCTCGAGCCACTTCCAGGAAAGTTCAATGGAGACCCGGGTTGGTAAGGAGAGTACTGGTTATGCACCTATCATCGGCCATTCCCTGGGGGGGACCCCGGGCAAGAGTGGGGACTTTGTAAAGGACCCTGTCAAAGTTCTTATTTTCCCCCTCCTAGGTGGGGACACAGAGGAATCAAAGTTCCCCTCCCTGAGGGGAATCACCTTGAGCAGCTTGAAACCTGACAAGAAAACAGTACTTTATACCCTTAACGAAATGTCATGTTTTAATAGTGCTTACATGTTCGTAACAATGCAAATTTCAATATACTGCTAAATACAATTACACAAAAAAATGTCAACCAAAATACAGTGTAATACACGATGTCTGTTCAGCTGACTTTTTGGACTTAAACCGAATATTTACAACAATGTTATCTTGTACAGGATCCAGATTCAGAGCTCTTTAGGCAGTTTCTTACGGTTTTGACAAGGTGTGGTGCGTCAGAAAAAAAGTATACATATCGATGTGGTGCAAACAAGTTAATTGTACGGTAGCACACATCACCATCAGCATCCCCATTTAGTGGCTTGTGGAGACGATAAAATCTCCTGTTTGGGGAAGCCCCATCAGAAGTTGTTGCGATGACCCACAGGTTGCACGTTGTCTCCAAAATACATACTGCTTCCCAGAACAGGGGCATCAGCTGAGCTGCAGTGATGCCAGCAGTAGCAAAGTGAGCTAATCCAAACTTTAGGTCAGTGCACACTCCACGAACAAGAAATGCAAGAGCATGTGTTGCAATCATGTCCACTTTCTCTAATACTCCAAAGTTCAAGTCAGGATCACCCAGGTCTGTGAAACCAATCAGCTCTCCAGTTGTCTTGTCTAGAACAAGGTTTGCCATCACTTTCATTTCATCAAATAAGAGAACGATATATCTTTGCACATCAAAATAACTGTCTGTCTCTTCCTTAAGAATGTCTATCACTCCCTTCTGAAAGCCCCTTTCTGGCTTAATGGCATTCCGATAGTCTTTAAGTCGCCTTTGACTAGGAAGCACTAAAACTCCACTATTTCTTAGTTCCTCATAGGTTGAAGGAGATTTAGCTGCCAAAGAGAGGCAAAACCGGATTACCATGGGATGGTAGCGTACTCCTGTGCTGCTTCTTGAGAACAGCTTTTTTTTCCTGCCAGAAGAGATTCATGAAAGGGGTAACTTGTTTTGCTGAGCCAATAATTCTTGCAAAGTCATCACTTAGTTCATGGTCAATCTCAATATTGGACTTTTGCAATTCCGCTTTCATGTCATTCAACTGCTACTCAAGTTCAGCGCACCTCAGTCTTTGCCCCTGTAAAGTCAACTTTATGCGCTCTGGGTCTGTCTGGGAAACTGGCGCTTTCACATGTGCAGGCTTTGCTGACCGACTTTCTTTCGATTTTCTTGTATTTTCTGAACAGCACATGAATTCGTCACATTCACAGCAGACAACACGTTGCTGACACAAGAGAAAACAGCCTTTTGCTCTCCAAAATCCCTTATGTGGGAACTGCTGCTCCTCTTCTTCTCCAAATGTGTCATGACTCAATGGTATAACATGATGATACAATTTTCCATTAAGTTTCATTATAGAGACTCCATCACACAACCTGTATCCCTCCAGTTGCCTTATTA